TTTCATATTACAGATGGCTTTGTCTCAGATCAATTATTCTAATATACATAAAAGGGTTTAGTGAAATGATAGCAGTTTTCGGTGCATTTTTTAAAGTCTCTTAGTAGAAACTTCATTGTTTCATTATAGTACCAATTACATACAATTTTTTATTGGTTTGAGCAAAGCTGGACGACCTACATAAAACCAACATCTAACAAGTACGATGCCGTGAATCCAACAAGGAGCTTCCTAACCACTTTCCATGGTGAAAAATATGACAAATATTTCGTAATAAAGCTAAAACTCTTGGTACTATCTCTCAAACTTTTGTTTACACTAGATATCATTTTTGGCGGCAAAAGCCACCCCTTGAACACTTGGTTTAGTCATGAAAGTTAATTTATCATTCAATCCATGATTTCAGTGAAAAACAGAATTTGATTGATCAGATTATTATTATATTCAAATGTTTGCAAATTGCAAGCAGGTGATAATCTTGCCTCGTACATTCCTCTTCTGGCTCAGACCGGCCTAGAAATCAGTACAACTGGAGACCGTGAGACGGGCCTACATATATATATATTACACTTGAATGTATTTTTTTTTATATTCCAAAGTAAGCATTGTTAAGTAAGATTGATTTCGTTCCACTGCAATAATAATTTTTAAAAATTGAATTTGTCAAATATTTCTTACATAAGCAATGTCACGTGGGGTGTGTTTCGGAGTAAGCACCAACAGGAGGATTTAGAACGCGTGTCAGAATTTAAAAAAAAAAAAGAAGCAAAATCAGCATCGTTCTAATCACAGAGCGTCAATCATTGTGCAATACGGATTAGGGAATAGTCAATCATTGTGCAGTAGGGAATAGCCAATAATTGTGCAGTAAGGAATAGCCAATAATTGTGCAGTAGGGAATAGCCAATCAGTGTGCATTAGGGATTAGCCAATCACTTTGCAGTTTGGAAGGGCCAATCCCAGTGCAGTAGGGAAACTCTCAAACCCATTATTTTTACCAATAATATAATACCAAAGCACATTTTGGCGCCCCTAACTAGCTTGCGCCCGGTGACATCTTTCCCCCTGCCCCCTCCTCGCTACGCCTCTGAGTACGAGAGCTCGATAATCTCGAAACTTTCCAACAACAAGTAAATGAAGGAAAGGAAAAAGAAATGGACAATTTCTTATTTCATAAACTGAATTTTTAATTATTCACTCATGATTTGGGTGCACTCAGATATGGTTGCCCCCCCCCCACCCAACCATCCACTGGTTGTGCACGCTACTGGTTTTGGCCTTCCCGTATTTAATTTTCCCCGAGACTTCTTTCTACTGGCTACTGGCTACTGTCTACTACCAAGTGCACACCTTCCCGTCCGCTACAAGTGCATCCAACGAGTCGACAGAAATATTATATACAAGTGCACATTTTTAAACAAGATGGCGCATGAACGTTAAAACGCAACTTTTGTTCACACTTTATCTCTGTATTTTTGTAAGACATAAAATAAAAATAAAACACATATCCTTCGTTTTCTAACTCAAATATTCAATATGTCCACTAGTCAAATTTACGTCATTGCCAAATGTTCTTGTTCGGTAATTGATTGTTTGAAAAACATTTTGGTTCAAATTTTTCGTCACATTTTTTTCGGTCACAAAAATGGACGCTGATTATCAACGTAATCATGGTTGTATCTTTTTTTTAACGCCCCCCCCCCACACACACACACTCCTATCTCTCTTCCATGCCGTCTACCTGTACCTGTGCCTCTACCTGTATCTGTATCTCTACCTCTATCTCTACCACTACCTGTACCTCTACCTATATCTGCAAGCCTAAAGCAGATAATTATGAAACATAACATTAAAAAAAAAAATATCCAATTCCAAAGACCGTGATTTTTCTTGTACAATTTAAATTTCATTGCAGTCTGTCCCACCAATTTAAATTTCATTGCAGTCTGTCCCACCAATTTAAATTTCATTGCAGTCTGTCCCACCAATTTAAATTTCATTGCAGTCTGTCCCACCAATTTAAATTTCATTGCAGTCTGTCCCAGCAATTTAAATTTCATTGCAGTCTGTCCCACCAATTTAAATTTCATTGCAGTCTGTCCCACCAATTGAGGCCTACATTTATCTAATTTTTACATCCCTCAGGGGCGTGGCAAGCAAAAGCTGCGCCCGGGGCAAGGCCCGAACTAGCTGTCTACAGAGGCGTAGTTAGAGTGTTTGGCGTCCGGGGACAAGATTCATTTTAAAGCGCCCCCCTTTTTTTTTTTAATCCCTCAAGCTCATCATTTTCATCAATACAATAATATCAAATCCCATTTTGGCGCCCCTAACTAGCTGGCGCCCGAGGACATCCGTCCCTTCTGCCCACCCCCTTTCGCTACGCCTCTGACTGCCTATATTAATAACCATATTATGCACGAAAACTGAATATTTTGGCGCCCTCCTTCACTCCTAACAATTGACATGGACCTGACGCCCCTGCACCAAACACAATCAATTGGTCGAATATTATGTGTGCGGGATTAGCTGCAAGGGGAACACCCCGTGTGAGGACGTATTCGGTGTGAGTGTGGAGAGCTCTGTCATTTCTGTTTGCACAATCTTCAATTAAGAATCTGTTGCGATACAATCGTGTTGCGATATACTCGTGTTGCGATACACTCGTGTTGCGATATACTCGTGTTGCGATACACTCGTGTTGCGATACAATCGTGTTGCGATATACTCGTGTTGCGATACACTCGTGTTGCGATATACTCGTGTTGCGATACACTCGTGTTGCGATACAATCGTGTTGCGATACACTCCTGTTGCGATACAATCGTGTTGCGATATACTCGTGTTGCGATACACTCGTCAACGCTATGTTAGCTGTTGCGATATATTCGTGTTGCGATACTCTCGTGTTGCGATACAATCGTGTTGCGATATACTCGTGTTGCGATACACTCGTGTTGCGATACAATCGTGTTGCGATACACTCGTGTTGCGATACAATCGTGTTGCGATATACTCGTGTTGCGATACACTCGTGTTGCGATATACTCGTGTTGCGATACACTCGTGTTGCGATATACTCGTTTTGCTATACAATCGTGTTGGGAGTTTCCTTATTAGGAAACATAGAACCGAATGGCCATATAACGTTTATTTTGATATACCTCGTACTCTGTGAAGTAGTATGACGCATGGTTGTGCCGAGGGAAAAGTGGCACCGGGGCAAAAGCCTGAAAAATTCCGCCCTCAGTAGGCCCTATACAGAACAAAAATTGCCGCCAACCGGGCGGCCCAGTAAAGAGACGAGTTTGGCGCCCACTGTCTTTGTAAAATTCATGGGATTGTATCGTTTAATTCAATGTTAAGGTCATATCTAAAGACAATTAATTTATTATAAAAAGGGTGGACAGCGAGACAGCATTAAATAGATTAACGAGACGCAAACAATGTGTGTACATAAAACAATATACGTTAAGTTTTAATATGATTAGACAAGACAACTTTCGAAAAATATCTTCATCGGTCCCCCCCCCCCCATTTTTTTTTCCAAAGTAAATTAAATCTGCATAATTCATATACTTTACTTGGAGTTTACCACCCTGCCCCCCTCCAAAAAAAAAATAAAAAATTATTAACCAACCCTAGTAATGAAATCGTTTTATATATGTCTACTGAGCGCTCATGAGTTTTTATTTTTACCCCATTTCGGGTAATTTACCCTTGTTCGCAGTGCCGGCATGGGCCCAGTGGCCACTGGCCCGGGGCCCCTCACTTGTAAGGGACCCCACGTTTCTACGAGCCTCACTCTTGTAGAGGCATCATGCCTTACATATGTTTAATAAATATTGAAAGATTTTGACAATTTAATTGGATTTACAATTACCAATTTTAACCCACGATATATATATATTATATCTGCACATTTCAAAATTAATAAATATTATAAATGCGAATCAAAGTTGGACTATTTAAAAAAACATTAAAGGGGAATAACTCTCGTCAACAAGTTTTACGTTTCGCCAGATATGAATCGAAAACAAAAGGTAAGAATCCGCTTCGCAGTGCACTGCGACAAAAACGTTTGAATTGGCTTTCATTTATATGCATGAAGAATGACATTGGCTTTAACCCTTGGCTTTAAACCAATAATAAAACAATTATCTCCAAAAAAATTACGCAAACGATTATGTTGATTTATATTGAATAATGTATTCTATCTATCTGTCAATAATGATAATTTATCATTTATAGTTTATTTCTGATACTGATAATGTTTAAAAATATTAATTTTGAAATATTTTGGTTTTTGTATCAATAAATTGAATTCATCGAAGTTTAACTTTATTGAATGTTTATTTTTATTTTACATTTTTATTCCTTTTGGTGAGTTTGTGAGGATCAGGAACTGTTTGCCCCCCCCCCCCCCCCCCACTGTTTAAGCATGGGGCGAGTGCCCCCCTTCACTCCCATCCTCACCGCCCAGGTATGTAGTGTTGCTAAAGGTTCCCAGTGTATTGTTGTGTCCAGGGCTTCCCTTGTTGTTAAGACGGCCCTGCCTGTTCGTCGACATATATTACAAAACTGTGGTATACAAATAAAACAGTTACTTTGTCAGTTCTACAAACTGATACTCTTTCAACTGCCAGTTACGATCTTGTAAAATATCAGATGAGTAAACCCTTCTGGATCACAACACCCCCAGCCATCAGCTCAACATTGGTTTGTTATGCAATTAACCTTATCATCAATAAAAAAATCAATGAGTTAATTTTTGTCACATAAATTATAAATTTTGACATTCAAACGAAAATGTTATACCTGAAACAATAATTTAGGGAATTTTAAAACATATTTTAAAGAAGCTGAGGTAATTAAAAATATATTACTTGATCTTAACACTCTTCAAAAGACTAAAATATTTTGCGTTATTAAAAAAAAAAAAAGTCAAAGGGAATCTACAACTGAATTTATAATGTTTTTCCACAGATAAAAAAAATGATTATCTACCTTTATGTGCCGATCCACTGACCCACCACTTCCGGAAATTTTGTGTACGATTCGTTTGCCGCCATTGAAACAATAATTTTGTTTGTAAATCTCAAAACAATCTGAGCCATCATGAAACTTGTGAGGTAAATCTAACAGTGTAATTTACTTAATTAAACTACTTAATGATTATTCTTTAGTTTAACAGTAATATTTCTCAAGTTTATTGAAGTTATCGATAATTGGTTACCCGGTAAAAAATAGCTTCTTTCGGGTTTGTTTACATTCTATGCAAGAACGTTAACGAAAATCTTTTGATATAAATCTTTTAACTTTCTCTCCGATCGGCTGATAGATAGATAGACCAGTTCTTTTTATATATTAACTTTAATTCTGCATTACCAGTACTACCAAAGTAAAGGAAATTGAGGAAATTTTCAAAAAATGAGACAATTGAAATTGACATGACAACAAATACTTTAACTTATTTAAGAATCATAATGACTTGAATTAGTCCTATGAGATTCAGAATTCGGCTGATATTAAGGAGGGATGCCACGGCGTCTTTTGTGTGTTTATTATAATTGCCGTGAATTAGGGTTAAGGTTAGGTTCGATGTAGGGTTCAGGTTAGTTAAGGTTAGGCATAGGGATCGATTTAGGGTTCAGGTTAGGCATAGGGATCGATTTAGGGATACATTCGCGAAATTCGATAAAAATGTGGCATTCGTCCTCAAAATTTACCCAGAATGCCCTTTTTTATTAGTATGAATGCCATAAAAATAGGCTAGAACTTAGAATTAGGCTAAGTAAGTAGTAAGTTATTTGAAATGTCTGCACGTCCGCTGCGCCGTACAAATAGTGCGTCAGATATACGTCCTGCGGTATGTCACTCTAGTAGTTTTTATTATTCCGAACGAAGTGCATTTAGGTAGATCTTGTGTGGTAGAGTGGTTGCTTAATGTTATTATGATTTAAGGATCATTTCCGGGGAAAGGATCGTTTCTTTCCCACCCCCCCCCCCCCCCCTTTATATTATCATGTTCATCAGCAACAGTAGTTTCATGAGAAGTTTTTAAAAATATTTTGTAGCAATTTAAACAATTTAAAATGAAATCTTTTACTTTTATGGGTTGTCTACTCCACACTGGCCCCTAATTTATTTTATGGATTAATGGTACACAAACTCAAATAACAAACTAAACAAAAATGTTTACAAGCCACTTTCACTTAAGTTTTTTTCTATTATTTGCATTCAAGATACTAAGTACATTACTTGGTAGAGAAATGGATTTTAAAATGAACAATAGTTTTGAATCATTCGCAGTCACATGACAAGGCTGACCGACTAGATATCTCTCGCCACTTTGTTACGGCGGTCATGTGACTTTTCACAGGACAAATAGAGCGGGAGATATACGCCCAGCGTGCCGGACGTGTAGACACTGCCTAAGTTAATTTATGAATGCTTACGTTTATAGAGTGTAAGGCCTAAAGCCTAAGTATGACAACAAGGCTACTTGGTTAAGCTAATAAGGCGGCCTAAAGACAGAGTTAACTTAAGGCAGTTAATTTAGGCAAGGAAGGAAGGCTATAAAAAGTGGGTGTTTTAGAATATTTTTATTTATTTGGATTAATAAAAGAATCTTATCTTTAATCTTAACCGCATGAATGATTGGCATGAATTAACTTGGAAACTCTTACAAGTTACAAGTAGACCTACTACTATTACAATTGAACTGCCTGCAATCTTTTTCTACTCTGGTTGAGATTTTTAACTATTTTCTTCTACATGTTTTAATAGGTTTCTTATGAAGCTCAGCCATGAAACAGTCACAATCGAGTTAAAGAATGGAACTCAGGTCCATGGAACTGTTACAGGTAAATTTAGTTTAAGAATATGATAAAGCAAAATCAGGACATAAGACTTAGGTAGGTACTTGGGTAAATTTTCAAAATGCTAAGTGTAGCATTAGTTTTTCCATTGAAGCCCTACAATTAAAAAAGAATTGTGCTGCTTCAACGATTGCCTACAAATTGCAAATATGATTAACATTATGATGTCATTTGATAGGCCTTTAAATTGAAATAAATAAAACAAATTAATTTTTGTGTGTAAAGCATTTCAAAATATCAATTCATCTAAAGCCTAAACAAATCTTAATTTTAAATCTAATATAATAATAATAATTAAGTTTATTTCAAAAACACGCTTCATCCCCAAAGGCTCGAGGCGCGGTACAAAGTATTAAAAAAATATATATATATATATATAATTTACCACATTTAAAACAAACGGAACACTACAAAAACTAATTACAAGCATACCAAGTCAAAGTCTTTCTACCCATTTCAACCCTAAGCAACACAGCCAATATGCATTAACTGGAAAATATGGTAGACAATCATCCCAGAAGGTGTTTGCGAAATAGGTATGTCTTTAAATCGGTTTTAAACGACTCCAGTGTCTGGTTGTTTCTGAGATCGACAAGAAGGGCGTTCCAAAATGTTGGACCAGCAAATGCGAAAGTGCACTTTCCTTAAGTCTCAAGGCAAACACGTGGTGTCGAGCGTTTGCCACTATTTGCCACTAATATGAAGATAAAATATATTTTTCTTCATATTTCCATGCTACAAATGCTATAAAATAGTGCTTTTGACATTGTTTATTAATCAGATTGCTTAAGATTTAAAAATGATTTGCTGAGGTGGATTTGGCCATCTTGAAAATGGTATCCAGAGAAGAAAGCCATGTGTTGGCTGTTTTGAAAATTTAAAAAAGTTGTTGGGGGAATTTTAATTTGCCCATTGTTGTAGATAATTGGATGCTTTAAACAGGGGTTATCATGAAAATCGAGTCTGGTGGAGTTTCTATGAGAAATTAAATAGAAGACTTAGCTTAATTTAACTTGATATATATATTTTTTTAAAAATCATGATTAAAAAATGGAAGACATAGTATTTTTCAGTTTTCAATTCTCTTTAAAATGATATATAACACTACCTATTTCATAAAGAAATAACCACAAAATATATTTTTTCCCAATGCATATGCAATGTTTACATTTTGAAGTGGACAAAAAGTTGAACAAGAGGCACGTAACTCTGCAATGATTTGACACTAGCAGAAAACTGATTTACCCAAGTACCTTACTTAGACCTTGTACGTTTTAAAAAACTGGTAAATTCAATAGGGCCTAAGCCACCACCAGGCTAAAAATATTGCTTTAAATCTTTAAGGATTAGGTCTAATAACTATACCCCTAAATAAAACTATAACCATAGTTTATAGTTCGTTTTATACAGTTTTCTTTTTTTTCTGCGACTATTCGTACTCGGACATGTCCGGGGCCATTTTGACTAAATGCTATTCAGATGTCATTTGTGGTAGTTTATTTTAGCTAAACTGAAGAAGTAAGTTTACATTATATAGTCCATTCAATTATCTTTATTTGATACCTCATTTTGTCTTACAAACCCAACAATAATATTTTAAATAGTTTTTTAATCCCAACCTCTCACTTCTGGTACCCGGGTAAAAATAGCCACTTTGTTTTTTTTCACTCGTATAATTTTTTATTTTAATTTTTTAAAAGTAGGCCTACAGTAGTCTATTCTATATTTATTTAATCATACATTTGTTGAAAAAATAATATTAAAAATAATTTTTAAAATTTGAAGATTTTAATAACTTTGATTTTTTGTGAGTTTTGAAACACGTGAGTCTGAACCGAGAGACACCATCTTTAGCCAATTTTTGTTAACCGCAAGTCAACTGGTGAAAATATAGATAGGTTCCTACATGAATCAACTGATGAAGATATTTGAAGAGTACTAGAAGGTTTGTTTTCAAGTGTTACATCATTCCTTGTTTTATTATAAATTATATAAATGTATCTGTTTAACTTTGTTTTTAAGCATTTTGAAATTTTTTAGCCATTTTAAAAATGAAATTACTTAAATTGCATCATTTTATGATGCGTGAATATTTTATTACATTAGAAAATAGTGACATTGTTGTCCATAACGACTGTTGATAAAGAATGTAAACAAATCAGATGGAGCTATTTATGATTTATTTTATCTTAAAGAACCTGAAATTTGACATCTGTGTGTGTTTAAAATATAAAAAAATTCAGTTATAGAATATTTTAAAGTCATAATGGTTTTTAAAGCAATATTGCAAGCTATGAAAACAGGAAATCCAAGTGGAGTATTTTTAGACATTGTATTCATTGATCCATTAAAGTGGAATATGTAATATTAGTTGTTCTTTTATGTTCACAGGTTAAACTCATATGATGTTCATAATTATGACCCAACAGTTCCCACTCCTAAGTTTCTCCCAGCCAGAAAGCCACATTTACATCTGACAGAAGAAATGTCAACAAGGCATAGTGTGAGGCAGTCAGTCTCTTCATCAAAATGACTTTTTCAAGTTAATTTATCTCATTGGATTTGGTTGAAACTTTTGTAAAATACACCAGCTATCTTTCTACCATGGAACCTACTAAACCTTCCATCAAAAGTGGTTGGTTGATATTTCGACAGATACATTTTATATCTTGGACTTACAATGTACAGAGTAACTGTACAGGTCCCCATTGTACATAATACTGATCAACTTCAACACCGTAACATGGATTTGGTGCTCATGCCTTTATGTCCAAAACCCCATTTATTAAAATTAAGACATTCTTCAAAGCTTCTAATATTGAAACAGGAAATAAGGACAAACTGTGCAAGGGAGGTTGTTGTCAAACTTTATCTGAAGAAAAAGAAGGGAAAAAATCAAAAAGGGGTGATACGTGGAGGATGGGAGATAATACATTTTTCAACTGATTAGTTTAGAGATAATAAAGCGCTCTCTCTTATTTTAAATTATATGACATCAAGTGGATTTTATTTTGTGAAAAGAACCAAAACTTGTGGTGTATATAGGCAATTATTGTTTAAACAAACAAATGTTCATACAAACATTAACAAATACGGTACAATTCATTCATGTGTGGTGTTGACCAGTTGATAAATGGGTGCAACATCCTAAGGAAAACAGAACAGTACTGCATAACCCCTTTTTTCCATGTTGTTGATATTGTCAGCTATAAATACTATAATCTCTTTCAGGAGTGGAGAAAAAAAAAAATCTGACATAAATGAACGACCCAAATATTTGAGCATTCGTTGGATTATTAAAACTGATAATGTTGGGAAATTGTAAAGTGTGCTTTAAATTAGGAAAGCCACAACAACTAAAAAAATCCAGTCACATGTGACACTTACCTTTGTTTCAATTTTAAAAAAACTTGTTTACTGGGTACCATGAAGTTTAAATTGTCTGCTGATATGTTTTCTGGTGTGTAACCATGAAAATATAAAAACCCTGTGCTTCTACTTCTTGTGAATACTTTGTGGTGGGGTGATGAATTAAAAAACAACATTTTTTATGATTTCCCCATTTTTGACACATGTTACAAAATCTTTTATATTTTGGTGAATTGTTCAAAAAATGTTCTGATTTCTTTCTAAAATATACAAAAAAAAATTATTATTTTTCTTTAATAAACACATTTTATGAAAACATTCCAGTAATTGTTTTTTTTCTCCTTTGCATCTAATCACCAAAACAATTTATAACACATACCAGTATGCATAAAATATCTATGCATTATTTTTCTCACAACTTCAAAATGTTGAATTTGTATGTTTAGAAACAAACATGTATATGTTTCAGCACATGCCTTCATCAGTACAACAAAAAGACACAAAAGTATAAATTAAATTTACATAATATATATATATATATATATATATATATATATATATATATATATATATATTACATAATATATATCTGTCTATATATATTTCTTATAAATATATATATTATATATATGTTTCAGCACATGCACTCATCAATACAACAAAAAGACACAAAAATATATAATATATATATATAATATATATATATATATATATATATATATATATATATATATATACAGATCCTACCTAAAATATAGCAGTCTTAATGCATTCCTTACAAATTTATATATAGCATCTTGAACTTTGAGTTCTAAAAGTAATTGACTCTTTTTCTGTGGTCATTAGAAATAGAAATCACACTTTTAAAAAAAGTGAACAATTCAAGGAGTGTTAAGTGTTAAAGGACAATGTAGTGTTTATGGAAAAGTTTTGGGAGAATGCTTAGGGTGAATGGAGATGGTAGGGGAGGATGGGTGATTTTTGTTTGAGTCTTGAAGGCTTCAGTTTTTATTTTAAAATACTAAAAGAAACACAAACTTTTGTTTCAAATAATTAATTTTCATCTCATTAATTGTTAATTTTCAACTGAAATATTTTCTTTTCAGGGGTTGATGTTAGTATGAATACACATTTGAAAGCAGTTAAAATGACTGTGAAGAATAAAGATCCTCAACAATTAGACTCTCTCAGTATTCGAGGCAACAATATTCGCTATTATATCCTGCCAGACAGTTTGCCTCTTGACACACTACTCATCGATGATGCACCACGCTCAAAAGCAAGAGGCAAAAGGGAGGGTGGAAAACGTAAGTTAAAATAATAATTCATGCAATATTTTGGTTATTAAATCAAGTTTCAATTCATATTGTTTCCTGTAGAGCTTGAAAGTTTGTGAATTTCTGATTATGGGCCAGTCATCTACTCTAGTTCACCTAGGTTCTTCTTTGATCTATAGGGAAGGTACTGAATTTTTGAATATGTGGTAAGAAGGCCCTTTTTTTTTGGTCAGCTTGTTCAATTGTTGTGACCAAGGAGTTGATTGCCTAGAAAAATTAATGCAGCTGCATTTTCAAGGGTCACTTTTTGATACATAATTCTTGTGCTGAGAAATATAGTTTACATGTCATTCGTTTTGTTAAATGATGTTGGGTCTTATATGAAAGAAGAAGAAAGAAAATTATTATCAAAGAAATATCTGGGTTAACACTTACATCTCGGTCAGAAATTGCTAAGATATTGAACAATTTAAATACTAGTTGTATGTGAAATTTACACGTTTCACTCACATTCACATGTCAATATAATAGGAATTTATAATTTTCACACTCAAAATATAATTATGCATTGCAATTCTTTTTAACAGCACCAATGGGAGGAAGAGGACGTGGTCGTGGTGGGCCTAGAGGTCGTGGTAGGGGTGGCCCTCGAGGAGGAGGTGGTGGCGGTGGCGGGCGTGGTGGTGGACCAAGAGGAGGAAGGCGGTAGATTCAACCTGGCATTGCAAGAAACAACTGCTTTCATCTCCAGCCACTGTAAATACTTCATTATGGATTTTTATGCCTCATTTTAAAAAAATGTACTTGTTAATGTGTAGTCGCCTTTTTAAGATATATTTTTGTATATTGTAAGTGCCCAAAATACTTATCAGAGTAGTAGCATCAGGGCTGTTTAAAATTTAAATAGTCATTTCCCAATAGTTATTCAACTTGTGGGCATTTTAAATGAATGCTTCATATAATGAACATTGGCAGATTTGTGGGAGCTGTTCAAAATGAGCTATAAGTTGACTTTGAGGTTTAAGTCTAGTTTGAATGTCTGATTCCCTTTTATCATTTCATAGCATGCAGGAAATAATTCATTGCAGCATTGTTGATGAAAAGCTGAAGGAGAAAATGTCATATATAAAAGTACATGTCAAATTTCTGTAAACTCAACTGCCTGAATAAATAGTACATTAGACTAACAGAATATGTTAATGAGATGTAAGACACTTGCCTTTTTAAGAAAAAGTTTTGTACCAAATAAATTATAAAGCAATTTCAATCTTAATGTTTAATAGCCTGGATGTTTTTTTAACAAAAAGTATTCAATAAGCACATTGTTTCATTCGAAGACTGCATCATTCCCAAAAGGGTGGAATTATTTGTTATTTGTATGTACTTTTTCAATGACTGATTTTTGTCAAGTGTTATTTTTAAAAATAAAAATGCAAATCTTGATTAAAATAATTTTTTTTTAAATGTTATTTTTGCATGCTTGCAACATTAAATGTTTTGTTTTAATGCGAGTGGATATATATCTAATTATATTTCTTAGCAATGAGTATCATTTTTAGAACTATCGCACCAAATTGGATTCAGTACTGGGTTTAGTATTATATTTGGATTTATTTCTATTGATGTACTATGTAGTGTAAAAAGTGCTTCAGTACTGTATATTTTATGCAACTGGTCTTTAACCCAAATTAAATGTCTTAGCACTATTTACAGATAATAAATACCGTAGTAATTTTCAGTAAGGAATTATTAATTCTTTAGTTTATCAAATTCACAGCTTGACACCACTTTTTGATATTCGGTGTTCTGCCTGATATTAGGTAAATCCACTTATACCCTGCAGTGACTGAGCAATGTAGCACCTGTACTAGCTAAGGGCTGTAAAACTGTAAAAGGTTTTAAGCATGAAAAAAAATGTCTCGCTTGTGATTGCAGAGTTGTGTCTTTGTTAAACTCATGCATCAGAGGTACATAAGTAGACTGAACTACACCAACCCATTGAGTGGGACAAGGCTTAATTACAAGACCAACTCTGAGGGGTCTTATGATACAAAATGAACAGACAAAGGTTCAATCTAGTTTAAAAGCTTTATTATTTTATCAAGGTATGATCCCTGTTAAATAACAGTGTAAACAGGCAAGAAATACACAGTACTATGGCTCAAAAGATTCAGTTTATAGGTGAGGGTAAGACTGACGGTAAGACTGACAACACTCACACAAGACTTTGTATACTAAAGGTACACCTGTAAATAACAAAGATGAAACTAGTGTGCATTGTTAACCATATACCATCTTTGTAGCCAGTTTGGTCCGTTATTTTATTATTATTAGAAAGTGTCTCACCAAGTTATAAATACTTCTGAAGTACCTTACATAAGTTCTTTAAAAAAAAAACTATTGGCCAAGTGTTATTTCTTTCAATTTTTAAAGATGGCAAAAGAAAAATTGGTGTAACAAAAATAAAATTAGTATGGCTTCATGTAGCTTGTGCTCAAAAAATATTATATAAATTCTTGGTATATCTAGCTCCTCTATAAAGTTCTAGTTTGATAGTGTTCAAATTCACATAAAACAGGAATAAAAGTAAGAACCATCACCCATATTCTTGTTTCTTAGACTTTAGATACAGATGAAAAATATTACCAAGAACATAATTAGCAACTTTTTATTCGGGTTAGATATGTTAAGATAGTTTCTTAATTAATTATGAACAGATTATTATACACAACTAAGAATCCATTCTCTTTCCCATTTAAATTGAGTTATTTATGAAAGGTGAACTGGGAATCTTAGTGTCTTTCCTTATTTGGATACTAAATCTAGATTGTGTATCAATGAAAAATAGTTTTTATTAATAAAATTATTAAAATACAACATATCCAAAAATAACAATACATTTTAAAAAATGGTAACTAATTATGCCAGTGATACAAATTTAGAAAGTAAAAAATAATAAATAGTAAAACAGCTGCTTGCTATGAATTTCAGTATTTGAAAACTTCTGAACAGATACGGAAATATCCAAATTGGTTAATTAAAAAAATAATAATATAGGTGAAAACCACTATTGTCATAAATATCACCTGCAATATTTGTATACTTAATTCAACTCAGCCGTTAAATAAATAAGTTACTTGCAACTATCGGTATAACAAATTGTGACTGTTTTACAATGGGTTTTATTGAAACTAGTCTAAAAATATACAAATAATTTCATTAAAACAAGTGCAGCATTTTGCAACAGATTGATAACTTAGCACAACCACTGGGGAAATTTCAATTAAAGTTAAATATCAGTTTATAACTGCTGATTTAAAATTTGAATAGAATTTATTATCCTGTAACTTTGGTTATGGTAACATAAATTTTAATATAAATATTGAAGGAGTTTAAGTTAACATAAATTGTTGTATGTTCAAAAAAGATCTATCAGTGAAAATAAAAAAGGGATCATGAATGAGAGAAAGTAGACATGTGTACTGCATGTAAATTAACAGATCTTAGATTTAGATGAAAATAAATCTTAGCAAAATTTAAGATATTTTTGAGAACATTCAGATTTCTTTTAAACACTGCTGTTTTATTTCTGTTTACTACATTAAAATCAAAAGTGAGTACTCCCCCATCAGAATGTGGCACTGAAGCAATTTTAGAAACTGTTAGGAATGATGATTCAATCATACCCTAGACATGAGGGCAACCGAAAAATTTTTTTTTTCTCCAATGAGCTGGTAAAAATTTAAGTATATCATTATTTAAGTTAAAAATCGATGGTCAAATTTAGATGAGCAGTAACAAATTAAAACACAGTATGACCATCTTACAGGCCCTTCTTTTGGTTTAACCAAGTTAACAAATCGAAGGTAAATAGAGGTACCGGTACTCACATATCATTTATGTGCCAAATTGGTTTTAAAAACTTTAAAATCAATTCATAATTAAACTTAATCTGCAACAAATCCACTATAATATTTAAAATTTATGTCACTTGAAGAAAAGCGATTTCAATTTATTTTGGTATTCAAATTCATTTTTAATATATTACCTTTCACTTGATTATGAGACAAAGAGACTTTAAAAGAGTGCCATACACAAAGCACCTAAGTGTTAGAGCAAAAGCTCAGTTTCTTTGCATCCACTTTTATATCTGTAGCTTGTGTAACAAAAAAATGTATTTTTCCAAAAACATGATTGTTACAAAGTTAACAAACATCACAAAGACAAAACATCACAAAAAAATTACCTCACAATGTTCACATAATAACTTGGTTTTTAACATAATGTATGCTTAGCATCATCACATTTCCAGTAAGTTGATTGATTCACACATAAATTTAAATAGTGTTAAGTTAAACTTGGCATAAAGTATTGTTTGTAAGTATAGATACAATTTTATTTACTGAATGCTTCAACTTCAAGTAACAATTCAAAATAAAAAAAAAAACGGTGCAAAAATGCCTTATTTGCCTATTGTTGGTTTTGAAAACATATTTTCAGTTTCTTTTTAATTTCACAAAACAAATCAAGTAAATTCATCTGCAAGTTATAATATTAAAAATAATTTAGTTACAAAAAAAAAATGCATTACAAAATTAATTTATTTGTACTGTACACTAAGGAAAAAACAATCAAATTGTATTTAAGTTTAAGATATACTTTGTAACTACTGCAAAATAACTATTTCAATGTTTATTTTATTTTTTAAAGTTATGTTCTGCTAAAACTGGCACTTAACAAACTAAAATCTCAAACATATTAAGATATGCTTCATAAAAAATGATTTACTCTCACCAATACCAAATAATTTACAAGATCTTAACATTAAAAAAAATCAAATGATAGTGATAGTGTGATAGCAAATAAAATAAACCAATTTGTTCTTTACTTTGTTTATTTCTGAGGAATTTTCTCCATTCTTGAACATATATAAATGATTCAATTGTGTTCATTGCAGACACAAAAAAAAAACACCCCTTAAAAATAGTTAAAAATCTAGCACTTCACAATCAACTACATTTGCTAAACTAACATAACATGCTCTCAGTTCAAGTAAGTAGCAGAAGCACTTCATGAGCACACACACTGAACAGATATGTCATGGCAAATGAAATCTGCCACAAGTAGGGGCTATGCATAAAAAGATATCGTAGTGATACATTTGTTTAGCTCTCTAGAGGAATTATTTTAAACTGTCCAAAAGAATATGAATAAAATCTATGTAGAAGTTTAGTCTAGCTTTAAGTTGTGAAACTTAGTTAAAGGGAATGTTCATACAAGGCAAGGAAGAGATACGTTGCTCCTTAGTATCAAATGCATGATAGTATAACAGAGAAATAAATGTAACAGACAGTCACAGTTTAGGAAATAAATGCTGATGTTAAAACATTTTCAAATACCTTCACCGTGTGATAAATAGGTAAGATCAGAAATATATTGTGAAGTTGTGATTTTTTTTTTTAATGGATGGGGTGGGGAGAATAACGGATAAAGATCTTGGTCTTTATATTTTATAAAATAAAATGCTATGTATAAATAGTTTAAGACTAAGAGTAGTGGGATTTTTATTTTTTCTTAAATCTGGAAGTCACTGTTTTATAATTTTTCCTATGTGCATGTGCAATACATAAATAATTTGGTCAGATGATTGAGATTATATGAACTACCTTTACAGGAACAAACTTTCAACAAATGAGCAATTCACTGCCAAAAAAGAAAATTAACATAACACCCACTAGTGTGCAACTCTTATGTAGCACTTCTTATTTGCACCTGACTGCTACCGCTTCCAGTAAATTTGCTCTTCAGACTTCAATTCACATGGGAAATGCTTGGTTAATAGGGTGGTCCAAAAGCTGTGGCTCCATGATACGGTATGGGAGCAGAACCAGCAGGAAGTGGGTAGCCTGGTGGATAGGCAGCCATGTGGCCTACCGGGTAAGATCTGGCAGTGGGTGCTGGCATAGCCCCAGGCATGGGTGAGTAGCCTGCTATGAGGGGGGCCCCGGCTTGAACTGGGTAGTGGGAGGGTGGTGCTGATCGAGGACCCATGGCTGTCTGGTAGCTCATTCCTGGATATTGTGCAGCAGATATGTAGGCATGAGTGGAAGTGGGAATACCTTGCAGGCTGGAGTATGGCAGTGAATGATAAGCGGGTGAGATTGTGGTATAACCTGTAGGACTTGTATTAGATACAACTGCATAGGCTTGTGGAGCTGCGGCATAACGTGGAGCTAATCCTGGAGGAAGTCCAGGCTGGCTAGGGGGATAACCGGTGGGAGTAGGACCATAGGGACTTGGAGCTGGCATATAAATTCCAGGTTTGTCTGCACCTTGTCCAGCAATATTGGGACTGCCATTGGCAGGCAGACCTGCGTAGTACATTGTGGTTTCTGATCTGTGAGAACTGTGGACAAAAAAATATCTATATTTTGAAATAAAATTATTTTGAATCAATTTTTTAAACTGGTTTTAATGGCTTTATTGATTTGCATTTCATGCATTTTTAGCATTTT